TTCGATAAACTGTCTCCTCCTTTCCGCTCCAAGCCCTTTGGATAACCTTCCTCAGCCACCCCACTCTAAGGAAAAAGAGAACCCCCGAGACAGCACCTTTATTATCACACTGAAGGTGGCTGTTACTAACAAAGGTTGGTGGTTACAGCACAGGGAGCTTGATCCACACACCACAGGCACAGACTGAGTGAGGCCAAGTTGTAACAGAAAATGTCACCTCAACTAACACTGACCTGTGTCACTTGTATTAACACTTGACATCTTATGGATTTCCCAGTTTCTGAGACCAGCACTCCTCACCCGACGCACCCCCACCAGCCCTGGCTCTTGCTGCCAGCCCCCAGCGCCCCCGTTCCCAGTACTTACACGCTCGTGATGCTTAAGACCTTAGATGGATGGCTTATGACTGACTGATAATGGGGAGTGTCCCACAGAAAGGCCTTTCTTACTGTGGTCCCTGTTATCCAGCACAGCAGGTTGAAACACAGAGCATTTGATGACCATTTATAGATAGACGGGAGGAAGGAAGGAACATATTAAGAGCCTGAACCTCTTCAGCCCCAAAAAATGAGGATCTGGGGTGCACCACTGCAATGACCCACCCGCCTGGTGTAAAACAGGCAGGCTCCAACTTACCCCAAGCGCTTCAGAGCATCACAACTCTGAAGGCCCCCAGAAGGGAAGAAAGGAAGAGAGAAATAAAACCTGAGTGGGAAAGGATGTATCCAACAGGGAGAGACAGGTAAACAGGAGGAAGAGGGAATGAAAAAGACCAATTACTTGCTGACGCAGCACTTACGGAGCACTTACTGTATGCCAAACATTAACTCATTTCATCCTCCCAGTGCCTTTCCTGGTGCCGCTGCCAGACGGGAAGGCTTCGAAGCACAGAAGTGAAGCAACTTGCCCAGAACTGCTCGGCTAGTAGCCGGCAAAGTCAAGTTCCAAACGTGGTGAATCTGACTGCAAACCCTAAGTCCCCACACCGCGCTGACCGGAGCACATCCCACAGAACATACTACTTTCTCTGGGTACCTGATAGATGTGGAGTGAAAAAATAAAAACAAAAGCACGTAGTCAAAGGCAAATTGAGAAAAATGCGAAGTTAAATGGAAGCCTTTACCAAAAGACTTTTCTGCGCTTTTCAATTGCTAATGAGCCCTGTGAATCTTCAGGAGAAGCACGGAGTTTATGTGGGTCCCAAACTTACTGGACCAAGGACTGTTTTCTTAGAGAAGCACTGTGCTGGACCAGACACCACTTCCAAAAACATAAACCTCATACCTGCTCCACACCTACTATGTGCACCCAGGTTTGCTAGGGGCCAGGCGACAGAATATGCTCAAAGGGCAGAATGATGATAGAGGCCACCCAAAACTCTGGGAACGTGCCCAAGCCCTACAGCCTCAACCAGCCTTCTGCAGAGGGCCACCTCAGGGCCTCCACTCCTGCCCATGCAAGACAAGAACCATCTGCAATAGCCCGTGCCCTCTCCAACTGGGCATCCCGCCCAGCTCTCCCCGCAGGGCGTCTGGCTTTGTGGACTTCACAAAGGCAATGTCTCACCTGAGTGAGTAATCGTTGCCTTCAATTCTGAACTCCCCTCTGTCCCTTCTGTGAGGAGATCTGGCATTAAATCATTATCACATAAAAAAAAAGGGGGGGGGATACACTACTTTACCCAAATCTCACAAAGAATTCTTAGAAAAGCCTGAGGTTGATGGCTATTATACTCCACTGACAGAAACATTAATGATTCACTTTAAGATAACAAGTTTAAGCCATTTTCAGTCTCTCGGAAGGAGACCACCAAGTGAGGTACTTTTCTTCTAACTGCCTTCGAGTCAATTACATGGTAAGTGCTCTCTATGAAGCCCTGTTGTTCCAAGTTCGGTAAATATCCCGAAGCAGAGAGTACAATTCCAGCTAAGTAACTACTTCTTAAATACTATGAGTGTCCTAACCACTCGCACCAACACCTAAAAGAAGCCGGAGCTACACGGGCATTTCAGAGATCGAGCTCCAGGGCTGAATGCTAAGTCTAACCAGCTGCCACAGCCAAAGACCAAAGCTCCAAAGCGATGGAAGGGGCAACGGACAAGTCACGCAAGAGTCCCATAGGAGGGATTTCATTCAGCAGCTATGACTTCGGCTCCTCATCACAGCTTCTGAGTCACCAAATGAAGTCCTCTAACATACTGCCTTCATCACGTCATTCCTCTGCTGAAAACCTTTCTCTGCTTCCCCACTGCCAAGAAAACAAAGTTCAAACTTCACAGATGGGTATGAAGTGTCCTTCAAAACCTGCCTCAGCCCCACCGTTCTGGCTATCCTCTACCAGAATCCCTCATGGCCCGCCTTCCTGCCCCTCTTCTTCCCTGCATTTTAAGCCCACCTCGCCCCCACCACCATCGGGAAGTGCCGTCCACCCCCATGCCACCCCCATGCCCGGGTGTAATCGTCACATGAAACCCCGTGATGTTTTTCAACAAATTCCATTTCTACCAACTCAAAGTTTTCCCCAACCGCAAAACCACTCAAACCATGTTTGATTCTTTTTCAGCTTAGGAGGGGAAATGACTTCTCCCTGCAGCTGACAACTTTCCCTGGAGTTCAGCAATTCTCCTATTATCTGGAAGATGAAATGCTCTGTATCTTCCATGCCTATGGTTTATATTTCACCAAGTGGTGTCAGCACTGATATAGTAACCTCCCATTTTTATTGAGCAGCACACAATGGAATTGATGACATCTGCTGGGGCTGATATTTTAAGTGAAGGCTATTCTCAGCTCTGCCTGCTCTCCCCATGGCTCTGGATATAAATAGCCAACAGCAGCTACACCTGAGCTACAAAGCGGGGCTTCTCGGCTAAGGTCCTCAGTTATACCCCATAAAGTCAGGAGGTTTCATCGAAGGAAGATTTATCTAAGCAGATCCAGTTTTTTATGCCTGCAGAGCTAGAAAAAGAGGGAGCCGGGGTGGGAATCTGCTGGATATGCTTGCCACCATTCCTAAAAGAGAAAAATCCTTCTTTGGACTTCTTGGTTTAGCAGATTTAAATATCATGCTCTTTTTGATGCTTAAAGTTTCTGTATTAACCCCCAAATCAAGGCAAGTGATCATATACATCCCCAAGTGGCAAATGATGCCCACCTTCAAGTATTTATCTTTTCCAATGTTCAGTAGTAAAAATGAAAATGTCTTCTCCCGGGGAAGTTTAAGTATTTGTTTGGTTTAAGTATTTGCAAGTCTTGGGGGCAGAGTCCATCTGGCAGTTACTCAGACAACATGTGATCCTCAAAGGACAAGAACCCATTTCTGGTTCAGGGCTGGAAACAATGAGTCCATTGCCACTATCAGTTGAGAGACCTCTGTAAGCAAAATCCTGGTAGGAATGTTTACGGAAGGGCTCATCTGTCAGGCATAGACAGACAATGTGTTGCTCTGTATCTGAGCATTCCTCTGAAAGGAAGGTGTACCCTTTCAAAAGAAATATTTAGAAATTTTGATCATTCTCAACAGAAAATTTCTCAATTAAATTATAAATATCTTCGTTTGCTTTAATGTAGCTTATTGTGACAACTCAGTCATTGGTAAAGTGGCAAAGGAGAGAGGCTCGTGGAGCCTAAGATATGGATAAGCCCAGACTGATCTGCAAAGGAAAGCCTTTCCTGGCATCTGCTCCCCAGATGCACGCAACACACAGTAAGTTCCCCACCTACAGAGTCAACACGTGCCCTGCACATACCTGCATTACGGCCCTGAACACATCCCACCAAAACTGCTGCCCAGGTTACCTCCCTACGTTCTACTCTGAGTTCCCCCAGGGCGGGAACCACAGCTTTTTCATTTTATTCCCAGAACCTGGCTTGGTGCTTGTGTCCACGGTGAGTATTCAACATTGGAGAATGAATGAATGCATGTATGAATGAATACAATGTTGCCCTACTTAGAGGCATGAGCTAAAATGCACATGTAGAAATTTTAACACCAATTTTGTTTATAAAAACAAAAACCCAGAGTCCGGGGGCAGAGGGACCCAATAAAGTGACAAAGGAGTTAGGAGAAAGGGGCACCTTCTACCGGGTTACGTGTCAACGCCTTCCTTGATTTCTTTTTTGTCAGGGCAACCATCGGGATCACGTCAAACACTCAAGCCACAGAACTGAAGCTCATCCTCAAAAGCGTGAACCTTTGACACGTGGTCGGTAATCTTTTTCCTCTAGGTTTCGGAATTAATTGCATACACGTACTTCGGGTACAATCTAGCATCATTTTCAGCAGCCAGTTCTGTGGCCAAGAGCAGCCACACATGGAACAGCAGGAAGAGGGGACGTGATTCACGGCAGTTCCTCGGTGTGTCTTAAATAACTCACAGGAGCACCGTGGTGGTGATTTACAACGGCCATCAGGAGACGGGCTTTATGCTCACTGGTGCGAGTGCGAAGAGCCCCCTGAGGACCAACCTTACACCCAAGTGGTCAGTGAGCAGGCTCAGAAACAAGCTTCTCTTTTAGAAACCATGAAGAAGTTATTTAACAAATGAAATTATTACTGCCCTTGAAAGCCTCCTGGGACTAACCTGTTTCTAGAAAGAAAGTTGCATTTTATAGCTCAAGTCAACTGCACAGCCTTTCCAGGCAGTCTGTTCCATGAAAGAAATCACTGGATTCCACCCAACAACTCACCAGGTTACTGTGATAAGCGTTTTACTCTTTTGTAGTGGTGGTGTTTAAAAACAAACAAACAAACAAACAAACAAGAATATCCAATGACTGTAGTCAACTCAATACATTTTTAAGAATCTGTCTTAGGTAATCTCAGACAAATAACCAAATTGACAAAATCATTTCTATCACCATAATCATTTCAGGCCCCCAAGTCAGTCAATTAAGACAGCTCCCCAGCCTTCTTAGGAAAAGTAACTCAGCGTGCAAGGAACGAAAAATGACATTGCATTTCCCACGGAATATACAACAAGAAATAATGCATCCTTTACCTTGGTCAAAGGGCTTGTTGGGATTCCAGTTTCTGAAATAATCATCCTATATAAGGAAAAAAAATAGAAAACGAAGGTCAGATTTCAGAAAGCTTCTCACATAACTGCATAAAACCTGCCTTTCTCCCTACCTCCCAAAACACAAAGGCAAACACACACGGTTTAGAAATCTTTCCCCAGACATTCACGTAAAATCAAAAATATCAATTTACTTTTCAAATTCTTGTCTTTGCAAACTGTATGGATTAAACACCAGGCACAGTAAAAACATTTCAGCCTAATATGGAAACAACCCTGCTCTTCTTGGCTTGACAGATAAACCCAGACACCTTCTAAGTGCAAGCTGGATTTGCTATCAATTATCCCGCAGGTGATGCCTTGTTGCCCTCACTTATGATTAAGCCTCTGTGTTTGTAACAGCTGATAATTTCAACCGTCAACATCCCTTTCATGTGGAGACATGTAACTCGTGGTGTGCAGTTCCAGTTTTCCAACACTCACAAAAGTTAAAAAGACTGGCCCTTCCGATGTTAGAATCAACCACAGGCATGCATTGGGCTTCCTACCATTCGTTCTAGGTGTGTAACAATAAAGTAACAAAGGCTGGCCAATCTGGTCAATTCAAAACCATGTCTTTCCTGCATGCTGCTTGTATCAATTTATGCTCTAAGGCTAGACACTTCGTTACTTTGAAATTCCCAGGGTCTAGGCCACTCACTTATTCAGGGTTACATTAACCTCTTCTCCACTTTTTTTTTTTTTAAAGATTTTATTGATTTATTTGGCAGACAGAGAGAGAGCAAGTAGGCAGAGAGGCAGGCAGAGGGAGAGGGAGGAGCAGGCGCCCCGCCGAGCAGGGAGCCCGATGCGGGGCTCGATCCCAGGACCCTGGGATTATGACCTGAGCCGAAGGCAGCCGCTTAACCGACTGAGCTACCCAGGCGCCCCTCTTCTCCACTTTTAATAACCTTTCCTTCTTAACTGCTGCCTGCTCTTTATCTTCCGCCCCCCACGCCCAGCTGAGCACTCAGCCACCGCCACTGTCCCCTAGCATACCCACTCTGTCCATGCAATCAGGTTGCCAGGAGAAGAGGCTTCACCCATGTTCATCATCCCCATACCATTTTAGGGCTTGTGCACCTTTTCAGTTAATTTCCTCCTCCATATAGCCGAGTATTATTTGCTGCATGTGTTTTTGGCAGGTACTCTGCATGCTGCAGACAGTTTCAGAGAGCTGCCTACAAGGAGGCCTCAATTTCTCTTCCTGAGAAGTTAATTTACATCAAAGTGCACAATTAGTTTAAATTATTGTCCACGCTGTCTCCTGCTGCAGTTTATCTCCAACATGATCTCCCGTGATTTTTACCGGCCTCTGTGTCATTCAATTGCCTGGCTTTATTAGATCCTCGTTGAGTTCACCTAAGCCCTTAATAGATTTTAGGAAACTGGATTTAGAGTAAAATTACAACATATTGCTTCTTGGGCAGAGATTCCATTTTCCAGAGCATGAATAAACACGAACAGGTTCCTCTGGATCCTGGGGATTCAGCATTAAATTATTTTTAACTCCATGGAATTGGCCCACTTTGCTCTGGCTTTAATGTTATGGCATCACTGACCTTCTCACCCATCTGGTTAGGAAGTCTCCAAAGGCCACACCATTAAATATCAAGGAGAAAGTTCAAAACAAGCCCTCTGCCACATCTCTGTCCACCTGTGGTTTTAAATACAATCCTAATCCTTTGAACTACGTGGTCTGAGACTCTTCTTAATACAGCCAGTATTAAATGAGTGTAAGTTAAGGACTGGATACTAGGTGGAAAAAACATAGCACCCAATTTCTCAGTTGGATGGCCAATGTGCTCTCAGCCCTAGACACAAGCATGTTCCCCACACATTCTGCTGTTCACGAGGACATGAGCAGAATTAATCCAGGAAGAACCCATCCTCACTAATGGAGAAAAAAACAACATCCATCCTTCCAACTGTGGTCCATCATTGCTCTCTTCCCATAGAGGCCAGCGTCCTGTCCAATGGCAATGGGGAATCTTGTGAAATATTTTCTACTTGAACATGCTGTTCTGATACATGGAAATCCTTGGAGGCTTAGGATGTGTGTCCCACAGGGAAGGACTGGAGCCAGAGACAAGTTCCTTTACTTTAATTTCACATGCCATATTTCCTTTGATGTCAAAGAAAGGTTTGAGCAAGTCTCAAGAAGGGAATATTCCCTAATGATTTCCACCTACTTTGTAACCTGGCTGGCATGTGAAACATGCTTCTGGGCCCCTTGTCACTTTTCCAGGTTAACTACAACGGCCATTTTTACAAATTTCTTGGGGGGAAAAAAAAAATCACAGTTTCAAATACAAAGCCTTTCAGTCATAAAAGCAGGTATCTGCATTATAATATTTTAAACTGATTGCAAAGGTAATAATACTGCCTAATTGCTGCCAAGATGTGAAAGTGCACCTTGAGTGAACACTCCTTATGCAAAGTGAGTCCTTCCAGCAGCCCCTGGCCCAGCAAGGCAAAGCCCGGGAAGAGAATGATTCCCCGCATCTGACTGCTTTTTGCTCAGCTTAAGCAAAGTGGATGGCCTAAGCAAAAACCAATGAGCCAGGAGCAGGTGAAACCTTGAGTGCAACTCTTTGGCTAGAGCTAAGAGAAACCCCCATCGAAGGCCAAGGTCATGAACACGTGGGAAGCACGCTAGAACCAGAGCCCACCTGGGGGATAGTCAGGGAGCCCCGGGGAGGGGCACGGCTGCAGCCAAGTGGAGGCTGAGATGTCCGGGCACAAAGAGCACCCCGCCACACCATACCTGCTGGGTCTGACTGGCCTGCACACAGGGCAAGTCCAAGTAGGCAGGGACTGTCTCCATCCATCCCCTCCACGTGTGCAGGAATGCCCAGGGAGGCAGCATCTACACTCAAGTGGAAAAAGCCACAGACAGAAGACTGCCTCTTCTAGAGCCACACCTCCTGACCATGTGCTGATAGCAGAAGTCCACTTATCAGGATGCTCGAGGTACATAAGGACAACTGTCTGGGGGAGGGGGGGCGCAGCACTGAACCAATACTCCATCAATACCAGGGCTGGTCACTTCTCCAGGGCCCAAGACTTGGAGGTGGGGGCTCAGGGGAGAGCTAGCACCCCAACCTGTCTCTTATTTTCTATCTAAATTGATAGAGCTACATCCTACGTATGTTGTCCTAAAACCGACCCAGGACTTCCTGTGCCGCGGACAGCTGTGCCAGTTTGCTCAGAGTTTCAACTCCCATGGGGCCAAGAACTGTGCCTGTCCCCATGCCACCCCAATTCTGCACTGTACCCAAGTGTGCTCCTGCTGCACGGACCCCAGAATCCCTTCCAGATAACTCGCACAGTGCAGGCCTTGAAGAGCTCTGGCCCCTCATCTTCCTTCTGGCCCAAGAAAGTGGTGAGCTGCTGGAATCCAGCCTGTAGGGGAAGGCATACCGGACGAGTCCCATCAAATGTGCTGGGAGAGATGTGCGCATCTGAGACAGCCTCTCCACTGGTTATTTTATCATCTAGTGATGAGGCTTTTAAAAAGGACATGCAAGGACCCCAGCAAGAGTTAATTTTTAAAACATAAACCTCAATAGAAAGATGCATATCTAAATATAGCCGTTTATTAAATTCAGTAACTCCTATTAGTGCATTACACAGGCTAAGGAATGAAAGATGGCGGTGTTACTGCATATGTGTATTTTATGGGTTCTACTGCATAGTATCATGTCAGGCCTCTACTAGAAAGGCCTGAGAACAGTCTCCCTCCAAATTCGAACCAGAGGAGGAAAGGCTGATTCCATTTAACTACACCTCTTCATACTTGAAAATCACCCAACTCTTCAGGGACTGTGAAAATCTGGAAGAACCTAGAAATTGAAACAGAGTCTCAAACTCGAGCCCGTTGGTTGACTTACGTCTGAAATCATGAAGTATCTCAAGGCAGGATAAAGCCATAGTAAGAAAGCATGAAAAGTCAGCATAAAATTCGCAGTAAGAAAGTGACACATCATTACCTGTGTAGGCTGAAAAAGAAGGTGGTGGGGTCCTGGTGTTAGAGAAAGAATCAGAGCCTGGGCAAGATTACAGCCCCAATTATCTTAATCCTCTGCAGCTGATCGATACAGAAAATGACGTATTTCTCCATTTATTTCACTAGTTAAATATCCTACTAACATAGAAAAGGATCCTTTTAAAGTCCTGCCAACCAGCGACTAGTGCTAAGGAATTTAACTCTGGGTTTTTGACCACTTTAGTGATACCCTGTTCTGATAAACATTCATGGGAAAGGAAATCCATTCAATATATATATAAAGAACACATATTGCATATTATTATACAATTATATATAATTATTCTGCTCTTTAATTCATCTTCCAATAAAGTCTTTAAGCCTCCCTAACATGAAATGGTGCAAAAAAAAAAAAAAATCTGTAATTTGAGTGATTATGTCTCTTCGTCATGGATGATCATAACCAATTGGAAAAATCTCTGGTTCCATCCCATTTTGAATGGGCACCTGAATTTTTCTTGCACTATCCCAGAGCCCCAAAGTGGCTGATGCAATTTAGCTCAAATATTCCCCAGGGATTTGCTCTTCCAGAGGTGCTTACTTCAGCTCTACAGACTGTCAAAACAGACTCCGAGGGGGCGATGGGGAAGCAGAGAACAAAATGGAAACCGTTTGTGAAACCCAACTGCCTAACTGACACCCGCGAACATGATGATGTAATGTAGTATTTATCTCACAGCTCCAAATATTACAGATCAAAGACACTTAGCTCACACGGAACAGATCACTTCTCCTTCATACGTATTTCAGTGAAGCTGTTCTAACCCTGCAGTTTCATAGGGAGATTCCCTGAGATAATACAGATTCCCAGCCTAGAAAATAAATGGGAGCCTTATTTGTCTCAAGCAGGAGTGAGCCACGGGGACACCAACGGAAGGAAGGAAGGTGAAGCGAAGCCTCTGTGGGGTCATCTGTGGGCCCTCAGCAGGTAAACGCCAAGGGTTGAAAAGCACTGCCCTGCATGGTCAGGCAGAGTCAAGTCGGGTTTGCAGGTCCTGGATGGGGTACATTCCCGTTTATAGAACCCAAAACCTTTACAAAAGGATCCACTAAGGGACTGTAAGAAAACCTCTCTCAAAAGGATTCAGTGCAAAGTAGTTCAGTTAATTTTCACATTACCTGACTGGGGGGGGGGGGGGCAGAAGGGCTGGTTGGCAGGTGGAAAGAGCGTCTCTAAAATATAACAGAAGTCACAGGAAAAGTGAGATTTCCAGATGACGTTATTTAAGGGCATCGGCTGTATAATCTGACATTTGACTGGAATTTTAATTGGCGTGCAACGGAAATGTCTACTAATCCAGCCACTGGGAGGTACCAAACATTCCGTTTATTTACTGGGAAAGGAGCTGGCTTCCCATTCAACCTTATCACTGAGCTGTTTGCGTTTCTATCTCTGGGCAAGCGACGTGCTCCCAGTCTCCTCTCCACCAGGCCCATCCTGCCCATCCCTGGCAAAGAACTGCACCCAGTGGGAATCCAATCCTTCTGAAGGAAGTGCTTCCCACAAGAGGCCCAGCTTGGGCAGTGACTCGAGGCCCCACCAGGCTTCCCTCACAGACCCCACTCTTGAGAACCTTGTACACCAGTGACTGGGAGCTGTGTGCATGTGAATCTATCACTCCCACACACCTGAGCCTAGGCTACCTCTGAGCAGGGAAGGAAGACCTTACTCACCTGTATATTCCCCCAAGGCATCACTCAAAAGCACCCAATAAATCCTACCCAAATTGTATAAAGTAGAAGTAAGCCGTTCCAGCTTTAACATCTTTGTATTCCTGCAAAATTCCCCAAACTGTTACTGGTAAGCATGTAAATACAGGTGAGTATATGTTTATAGAGACACTCTAAATCACTTTCTTCCTGAATAGAGCGATTCTTTGATAAATTGGTCTGACATTTGGTATCAAGTCCTGCAGGCCCTAGACAAAATGATTTAGAAAATAACCATGTCAGTTGCTCTGCTCTTTCAATAAATAACACACCAGTAAAACACAGATAATAACTGACAATCATACTTGTACTATAACTAATGAGAAAAGATAAAGCAGCAAACGGACTGTTTATATGTGTTTGATAAATTGCATCCCCTGGATATATCAATGCGAAATAAATGTGTGCAGTGCTGGTTCACTGAACTAAAACAAATATTTACCACTGAGATTTAGGATTAAGAATGAAATTTACATTTTATTTGGCAACTATTGGGATGCTATGTCTACATACAGTTGAAAAGTCAAAAACCTACCTCAACTTCCTGAGTACGAGAGCATTATAAATGAGAAAAAAAAAAATAAAAGAATCACATCAAACAATCGGAAGGAATATAAACATTTTTGATAATTGCATCAAATTTTCATATCATCATAACATTAGAAAGGTCATACGAAGATATTTTCTGTCCAGTCACAGACCATCATACCCTTGAAAAAGTCCCATCATTCATTAAGTTCATGGGGAAAAAAATACAAGGTTATTGGGTAGAATAACTCAAGTGGGGAGCAAACTGAGTGTGCACTAGTGATCCATGTCATTATGGTAGAACAGCTAGCAAAATCATGATTAGATCCCAACACCCAGTCATGATGACTATCTATGAGAATCTTAAGTGAATAATTTCCTGCGACATCGGTCCAAGGAATGAAATTCAGTAAAAATCTGGAGATGACATCAGAGACCAGGAATAACAGACCCTCTATGTTTCTGCAAGGAAACTGTTTTGCCTTGTAGCTCCAAAATAGCTTGAAGGGGTCTAACACCTGAGAAAGACATGAATGTGGGTCTTAGAAATAAGTAAAATGAGTAATATTGTCATGGCACCTTCAGCCAATTAAAGGATTACCATCACCTCAGAGAGTTCCTGCTGCTTCAAGACTTTGTGTGTCCCTGTCCATCCACCCAAGCTGAAGTCGGGGGAAGTGACCAGCTGACTTGTTCTTTTCTCAGAGAGAAAAACTGAGTCTGAGCTCCCTTCCCAAGAGTACGCTCTACACATGGTTACTGTTCTGGGCATAGGAATGGGCATGTGAGGCTCCACGTGTACTCTGACCAAGACAAGGGGTGTCTCCCCTGACTCAAAGCCATCCACCTCTCTGACCTTATTAGCCATATGAGCAAAATGCCAATGCTGACCAGGAGCCACCTTCTGAATGGCCAGGAGGAGGGAAACAGCCAGGACTAGGGAGGCAAAGGCCAAGGCGACAGGTCACACAGGACAGGCTCTGAAGCAGACAGAGATTTAAATGCTGCCTCTGGCACTCACTGGCTGCAGGGCCTCACATCATCCACTCAGCTTCCCTTACCTTTCTCTGACCTCGCTACAAAACAAAGACGTCACACTCACCTTACAGGATGGGTCACAGTGATGCATGTTAACATGGCCACTCACCTGGGATATTGTCAGACATGGACAATTACTCAGTAAATAAAAGATGTACACTTTGGTGTCCACCGCCAAAGGTTTATAGTACTGTGGAAATACAGTCAAGCCTTGAACGACACCGGGGGTGAGGGGAGGCGAACCCCGAGGCAGTTGAAAATCCGATTCCCCAAAACTTAATTGCTAATAGCCTACCTATTGATCAGAAGCTTTACTGAATTCATAAACAGTCGGTCATATTTTGCATGTTACATGCATTGTATACTAGGTTCTTACAATGAAGTAAGCTCGAGAAGAAAATGTGAAGAAAATCTTGAGGAGAAGATACATTTATAGGACTGTACTTTATCAAAAAAAAAAAAAAAATCCACGCACAAGTGGACTCACACAGTTCAAACCCAGGTTGTTCAAGAATTAACTGTAATGTTTAAAGTTGCAATAATGTGTCTTCTTGTGCATTTGAATCTTACCAATTAGGCCCCAGTGCAGGGAGAAAAAGTATACCCGGGAACGATAATTATGAAATATTTTAAATGCGTGCGATTTTATTACTGTCACGTATAAAGAGTGGCTGAGAAAAATAAAATTCAGTGAAATGTGAAAACTTGAGTTCCAGGCATGTCTCTGTTTAAAGGTCAGGCTTAGATTCTCTAAGATTCAGGGACACTGTCTTTAAAAAAAAAAAAAAAAAAAGTACACCAGTGAGTTCTGAACCATTGTTAAGTATTACATATAATTAAATTAAAGTTCCAATTATGAGTAACTAGATCCTGATAAGGGAATTAGGCTTGCTCTGAACAGGCAAAATTTCTGTGTCATCATTACATGGAGAACACAGATACACACCAACCAAGGCCCCTGTAACCTTACAGCATGTGAGCCTTTACTTCACACAACATCCCACTTACGCTGCCATGAGGCCCAGCCTTGTCCGAGTAGCACAAATTCCAAGTTAAATAGATTCTGACCTCCTTCTGCGAAGGCTACTCCTCCATCAATATCCAGACACTACCTTTTAGAGGGTAAGATATAGCTCTTAACTACCATCTGCTCCTTCCTCCCCACCCATCCTGCATGGGGCTGCTGCCAGTGGGGCCTGGGCAAAGGCACAGTTCTCATCCTCGGCTGACTGCTGGGGTCGCTGGAGGGCTTTCCAAACACGGATGCCTCAGCCAAGAGAGGCTGCTGCACTGGGCTGTGGCCTCCACGGTGCTTTGGGGTTTTTCCTTAAGTTCCCCAGATGATTCTAATGTTTAGACCTCATTGGCTAAAGGAAGCCACAGGTCAACTCAATCGCAGGAAATGAAGGGTGACCCAGGAATGGTCAGGCCCATCAAGGGTAGCAAACCAGAGGCAGCCCACCAAAAGCTGCCAGAGCTTTCCAGTGTTGCCTCTTCCATTCTCAGGCTAACCCCTCGCAGCATCCCAGCTTCACACACAGCCCTTCTGTCTGCCGGTTGCCCAGGCAAGAACCTAGGCCTCGGGATGGACTCCTCCCTCGTTCTTCCTTTAGCTGTCCAGGCAGTGATTTCAAGCGGGTGGAAATGGGACCCTGGGACTAGTGGGGTGACGCTGAAAGGTCTTGGAAGGGTTGACCAAGCCGTACAGGAGACCTGCAGGTGGAGCTCTGCCCAACACCCTCAGCCCACATCGACTCATGCCTGAGCCACCCCAAGGAACAAGTAGCCCTCCTGACGTGGCTCACCACAGCTGTGCTGGGAGTCAGGACTTGCAGCAAATTAAAGTTTACACAAGATGGCTGAAAGCAAACCCCAAAAGTCAAAGTAAGAGTATTAATATCAATCATGCAGCAACAGTAGCAGCTACCATGGGGGAATGGCCACAATGTGCCAGGCACTGTGCTAAGCCCTTTGGTTTAGTCCAATGAGCCCTTACGACAGCCCAGAGATAGTCACCATCAGGACCACTGTGATGTAGCTGCGGAGATGGAAGCTCGGAGAGAGCAAATGACTACACAAGTTCATGTAGCTCGTCCATCAGAAAGAAGGAGCGCTTGCCATCTGCAACGACGTGGATGGAACTGGAGGGTGTTATGCTGAGCGAAATAAGTCAATCCGAGAAAGACATGTATCCTATGACCTCACTGATATGAGGAATTCTTAATCTCAGGAAACAAACAGGGTTGCTGGAGGGGTGGGGGTGGGAGGGATGGGGTGGCTGGGTGATAGACACTGGGGAGGGTATGTGCTATGGTGAGCGCTGTGAATTGTGCAAGACTGTTGAATCACAGATCTGTACTTCTGAAACAAATAAAACATTATACGGTAAAAAAAAAAAAAAAGATGATAGCAGGTGGGGAAAAATGAAGGGGGGGAAATTGGAGGGGGAGACGAACCATGAGAGACGATGGACTCTGAAAAACAAACTGAGGGTCCTAGAGGGGAGGGGGGTGGGGGGATGGGTTAGCCTGGTGATGGGTATTAAAGAGGGCACGTTCTGCGTGGAGCACTGGGTGTTAAATGCAAACAATGAATCATGAAACACTACATCAAAAACGAATGATGTAATGTATGGTGATTAACATAATAAAAAAATAAAATAATGGTAGAAAAAAAAAATCACGTAGCTCATAAAAAGCAGAAGGGGATTTGAACTCACTTCTGCCTGACTCTGAAGATCATGCTCTAACCAGCAGAGGATGCCACCTCAGTGGCCCCATACGAAGGGAGGGGCATGAGGGCTGTGCAGGCTGGAGACCCCAGAGAGAGGACATGGAGCTGGCCACCCTGGGAAGATGCCCCCAAGAGAAACCAACAGATGAGAGATGAACACATAGACCACAGGCCTCCCAAGAGGCCCTCTCTCCTGCTGCCATGCCCCATGTGTGTCTGAAGCCTCAGCTCTCCCATCTGTGAAATGGGGAGTGTAAATACCTGCTTCACATGGTCTTCGTGAGATTGGACTGCAAGTCCATCTGTCATGCACCTGGATCCAAGAAAGCAGGGAGGACACCTTCACTCCCTGATCCACCCCTACACCCAGGATGGCAGCCAGGGTTTCAGAACCCAGAACCAGGGCCATCAGCGCTGACAAAGCAGCCTCAGAAGTCCTCCATCTTTGTGTGCTCTGGACTGAGCACTAGTACCTGTCTGCCACCAGCACTCCCTGGGGCCCAGTTCAAAGTGAAGTACCCAGTGCAACATCAAGGCACAGCATGGAGGACGTGGTGACTGTGGCACCAGCCATCTCTCTGCGAAGCTACGGCTACAGACTTGGCGTGAAATTTTCATTAGCTGCACAGCTAGGCCTGCTACAACTCCTCCCAGCCTTGCCATTCAGCCTCTTCTCTTCAAGAGAACATCTGGGAAGCATAGCAATAAAGACTCCCTTCACTGTGTCCCCAAGTGTCCTAGCAGCCACCCTGCGCACCCTCCTCTGTGTCCCGAGGCTCTGGCCCATAGCAGACACCCCCCGGCAAAAATGTCCCAGAAATATATCTGGTCAATGTCTTTTGTCCACTTCAAGCCAATGGTGTCGGCGTCGGGATCTGAGAGCACTCATCTGATATTCACAACTTCTGAAGTGACATTCCCCCATGGTAAGTGGTCATCAGAGCAGGCAAGCCTGCCAAAACTGGATCCACACTCCTGAGCCACAATTTACCTCGACAATCACCAACAAAGCTTCCATGCAGAAGGGTGGGGGCCCCCTTGCTGAGGTTACAGTCATTGCTAAAACCGGGGCCCACCAGAACAGCCCTCTGAAACTGAAGACTCCCACAGCACCCATGCTGCCAACAGCTGCTGTGTTCAATGAACACTTGATTACAAAGACAGGCTACTTTTCTTCTCACTCAACAAGCACTTACGTAGCTCTGTGATGGGTGTAACACAGGCTCTCACCCCCAGTGCTGCCAA